TTATTCTTACATTTATTTATTTATTTGAGCATTTTGGTAAATCAGTCTTTGCATATGTGTAGTTAGGTATTTGTGAATGGACACAGAGAAATAAAAATGTCAACATAACAGCATTGTATTCAACTCCCTTCAGGACTGACTTTTTGGTAGCTTTCTTCCCAGCTTAAACTAAATACTGTACTTTTTCCTCAGTTTTCAAAAGATTTGATTTAACAAGGTAAAGGGGGAAAGATCAACTTATAATGCTGAATGTTGTAGGTTCGCTCTTCAACAAGTAGGACACAATGCCCCTGGGAAGAGCAGTAGGGTTTTAAATTGGAATTTTTCATTCCTATAAACGCAGAATGAGAGACTCACTCAGTCTGACCTTTCAGCCCCTCTGTTTTTTAATAGTGGAACACTGTTTTGGCGTTGAGCCAAAGTGACTTTATATGCTGTAGTGAACTTCTGCTTCTTCAGAGGCACACTAGCCAAAACAGGTTCTGCATCTTATGGAAAAGGATATGGTTTTTAAGTTTTCCTGGATGGCAAAACTTGGAAGAGTACAAAGCACCAAAAAAAAAAAAAAAAGTGAACCAAGAAAGAACGTTCCCCAAATAATCATTTTACTCTAGAGGGTTTGGATGATTCTGTATATTGTGAGATTCATATTCATTCAGAGATTAAAATCCCAACATAAGCAACAAGTATATCCATATAAAAGTGGGTATTTACACAGAAGTAGAGTATATTCATGGAAAATTAGTTTTCATGCAGCAGAAGAAACTGTACGAAGGCTGGTGGCCCTTGTGCCTCTCACTGTAGCCCTCAATTCTGATGTTCCTACACAGCCCAAATAACATCCCACTCAAAACAATGAAGACTAAACTGGGAACATTTTACTGGTACTGTTGTGCAAAGGACAACAAAGTCCTTTTGTAGTGGGTTTTGGGAACCAAAAGGATCCCTGAAAAGTAATTAAATAATGCAATACCATTGGTGATATGCTTTTCAGACACCAGTGAGAAGACTGTGCTCCCACTGAAAGCTTTCTGCAAATCAAAAAGTTTTGAAAACCAAAAGTTAAAGTATAACTTTTGGGGGATGATATGGCAGTAGCAGTTTTATGGTAGGAGTTTCTAAATGTTCATAAGAAGCTATTTGTTATCTACAATGTGCAATTTATCATTACCTTGTTGGGAGGAAAGTTCTATCTATTTCTCTTTTTCAAAGATTTGGGGGTTTTTTAATGATTAATTTGAAAATCTGCATCTCAGGACTTTCACCAAACTGAATAATTTTCCCTAATGATTTTATTATTATTATTATTATTATTTTTAAACAGAAAAATATTTCATACTAATATCCATCACTGACCCAACTTTCAATTCTTTTTATTCTGAAGTAAGAAAGGTAGGCTAAGCCTTTAAAGTAGGTTAGTGTCAATTCATGTTTTTTCTCCTTGCAGTATTAAACAAAATTATAAAAATTATATTCTGAATATTAAAAATTAATTACTCAGTAGCACATGGTAGCATTTTCGTGTTTGCATGAAAAAATTAGGAAAACTGTAATGTTATTTATTTGGACCGACAGCAGTATTTTAACTACTGATGTTACCTAATGTTTGATTATTCAGACAACTAACTTTTTCAGAACAAATAAAAGTTGTCAGCTTAAATTTTCAGGGAAGAATAAAAAATTAAATAAAAATAAATAAAAAAGGCAAATGTTCTTTTCTTAACCTCAGATTAATTTTAAGTCAGAACTACTGGACATTTTGGGAAGGAAACAGCTGCAGTCCAGGAACAGATTTGCCCTTTTCATATGCTTTCTTTAATAGGTATATATTTTAAATGAGGATGCTGAAAGGCTGACATAACTTCATTGGAACTTGTTCAGATTCAACTAAAACCAATTTCATTGCCTGCAGTCAGGGTGATGCTGACTGAATTTTACTGCCATAGCATATTGCAGTCCTGCATAGCCCAGAGACCGATTTTAACCTCGGATACAGAAGCTTAACATCCAACATTAAAATTATTTGCTCAAGGGGAGGTGGTCCTGCCCTCAGTGTGAGTTGAAAGGTGCATTCGTCACAGATTTGACACACCCTTTTTCACATTTTGCTTGTCTTCCTTTGACACCCGTTTCAGGAATTATGCAGTCATCAATATTCTGCGGTTGGAAACTAATCAATATTTGTTTATTCAAAAAGGCAAATTAAAGCATGTTCTGTTTCAATTAATATGTACAGTTGCACTGTCACTCAGTGGGTCTTTTTCACTGCTTTTACAGCAGTAAAGTGAGATAATTTAGTGCACATTTCAATTTTAATGCCACAATAAGAATGCAGTGAAAGTATCTGTTTATTAATACTTAGAAACCTTTGTTTGTGTGTAAAGTAATAATACGAAACAGAAAAAAAAATCCAGAAATATTTCTTTTGCTGGAACACTTATGGAAATTGCTCATTTTAAAGGGAAATTAATATTGCTAATATCCATGTTTTACAAAACTGTGATTTTTCTTCCTCTACGTAATATTAATAATTGCTCTATTAGTCCTAGTAATACAAAACCAATGACCATTTGAAATCATCCCCACATACCAAGCTAAATGTCCCACAATGAACACTGTTTCAGCTTAAATGTACAAATGACCTGACACTCACACACAGTGTGGGAGATGGAACATTCGAATGCAGCTTATTAAATATTACAGAACAGCTACTGAAGTACACTGTGAGTTGAATGCAATACGATGTAGTATATAAATCAAAAACATTAAAAAAAAAAAGAAGAGACACACAAGTTTATAAAATAAAGAATTAGAGGAAAAGGGAATGTGGAATTCAACTCAGTCTTTCTGTGGGAAGATCTTTGAACGTTAAATTGTACGTTTATTAAAAAAGCTAAGTTTGAGGCAATACCCTGTCACAGTCAAAGTGTAAGTCTTTGCTTTTTCACATATGATGGTGGGATCTATCCATGGGTGAGTGCGTTGGTTAGCACAGGAGAAAATCCCAATAGAACTTTATCAGGTGATCCTCAAAGGAAACTGGAAACAGTGATGGTAACAACTTCAGGAATGGCAGTATCAGTTCATATATTGTTCACTATTTTGGTGGTACTACTGAGACTGCAGGGCTGCTGTGATATAAGCTTGACCACTTGGCCAGAAGGAGCCATGCCTCTGAACTCCAGTTAAATTCTAAAGACCTCAGCTCTGCACTGTAAGAAAGGGTTATTATTCAGCCTGAGGACCATCAAGGCTCATGAGTCTGCTGCTGTAGACAATAGGGCAACACAGTGCATAAATATTCTTTTATCTGACTGATGTGAGATATTTGGAAAACTGTGTTTCCAAAGACCTTGACCCACTTGCAAAGGGACTCCTCAGTGCAGGCAACTTCAGTGAAAAGTAAGAATGCTATTTAGTACTGAAAGAGAACTTCTGGATTATGATATCCAAGTGCTTTGCCTCTGCAGGCAACCATTTCACATAATCCCTTCCATCAAGCTGCAACCAAAAAGCATTTAGAGTGTTTCCTATTACTTCAACTAGAATGTAATTTAAGAACCTTGCTGCTCTAATGGTTTGAAACCTTCCAGCCTAAGTGTATTCACAGCTCATTTATACCCCTTTGTTCTTCTCCCTTCCGAGGGACAAAGTATAAAAAGCTGTACATCACCATCATTCTCCCAGATCCATGGGATCGCTGATTTGCAGTTGCGTGTTTGAACTTGCTCCATGTCTGTGCAATCCTTCATGCAAGAGCCTCAGAAACGTGGTGTGTGATGTGTGAGAGAGAGTGTGAAACCTGGAGGAACTTCACCTTTCATAGCCCCTGAACAATGGCACGGATCCCATTCCATGTGAACTGGGCACTGCTGCATTCAGTAAGGACAGGGGGACCCCAGGGAGCAGCTCCTTGAGCACGAGTGAAGTCCAGGAGTCAGAAAACTAAAGAGGGGAGGGAGGACGGGGGAAGCCAAAACAGCCCTCTGAACCAGGATTTAAAATGGTGAGACCCTGCAAACGTTCTAGATAACAGCAAACTGGAAAGCCTGGCAAACATAGAGCAGCAATCAGTTTCACCAGCTTCATAAACATAGAAAGGTGTGGGGATGTTCACCTCACACAGATGTATGTGTATGCTTGTATGAGCAGGCATTTACATGTTCACTTAGATCCAGGTGCTCGTGAAAGCAGAACATTCAGAAGATGCCTTAAAATTAAAATGCATCCAATCTTGATGCTCCGTTCTGGGCTCACCCTTCTGTGACTGAGTGGTGCAGCATACAGAGCATTCCACATTTCACGGGGAAGAGAGCGAGACAGAAAGTGTTATCAAACCTGAATTCAGTCACTCTCAGACACTTCAGAATGGTCTTTCATGGTTTATTATCATCTTTCATTCAACTGCGAGAGACACAATCTACTGAATAAATAAAATATTTCCTGCCTGACAGTGGAATGCTGCAAAGTTGTACCTGTCTCAAAGAAAGAAATACCCAGTGTTATTTCATTCAGGTTCCACATTTTTGTATTCTTCCATCACTTGAGTTAAAATGTATCTTTCATTTTAAAAAGATATAGAAATTAACCTCTCCTTAAACCACTGCAGTGGCAGTGCTGTAAACTAGGGCAAAATTCAGCACACAGAGTTTGCATGAAAGACAGTTGGAAAATAAAAAGGTTATGAAGTCATTACTAGCATCCCAGCACACAGGAAAATGGTATTGTTAACTGGTCATTATGCGTATGACCAGCTTCTGGCTTCCTTGCCAGCCCCAGTTTGCAGCATGCCATGTTCTCTACATAAGACAGGAGCTCAGATCAAATCTTGCAGTCATAACTCACACGAAACTCTATCGACTTCAGGGGAAATTTTGCCTGAGTGAGCATTGAGGATTTCGGCCGAAGGAAACGAAGACCTCTAATCTCGGTGCAAAGCTACGCTTATTTGTACGAGGTGACACAGAAAAACAGCAGGGGGGGGAAAAAATATAATTTACCTGTGCGGGAGCAGAAAGCTTCAAATGCTCTTCAGTTTCTGCCTGTCATTGCACCAGCTCCTCTTGCTCTCTGCCCCGGGGTTTCCTCCACCAGAAAGGAGCCCCTGTCTTAATCAGGGGGGCTGCAGCTCCGCCGCCTGAGACGTCCCCTTGTGCCCTGTTCTGGCTGCTGCCTGCCCTCTGCTCCCGCTGCTCCGCTCCTCTCTGCCTGCTCCCCGCTGCCTGGGTCCTGGATGATGCTCCTGCTGGCTTGCTTTCCGCTTTTACGGACGGACTGACTCCAGCCTCTGCCAGTGCTACTGCCTAAATGGCGACGGCAAAGCTCGTCGAGGCTTTTAACTGCCACCTACTGAATAATTGTGGAATATATATATATATATATATATATACACATAAGGTAAATATACGTACTGGCTGTAATTTTCTGGTTTTCTCCATCAATCTAGTAGATTTTTGCAATTAGTCTTCAAAGCCTCCAAATATTCTGTAGTTTATCACTTAAAGCTGTAGCTTACACTAATCTGTGCTCATAATTCTCCCTTTCTTTCAGCAGCGAAACGCAGACCAAGCCTGTCTGTCCCTTTAACTTTAAAAAAGCTTACAAAGCCTATGGTGAGGCTTATCCCCGGTAGGCATAAAACAGCAAAGCCCTACTCAAATCAGTGGAGCTGTGCTGATTTATATTAGCTAAGAAATTAATCCCTTAGGTCTAATATTTATTCACAAAAAAAAAAAAAAAAAAAAGTAGAAAGAAAAATGTGTCTTAAAAATTGCTTTTGTCCAGTATAGTCCCTCAGAATTTCACTCATCTGAAACAGATTAGATTTTTTTTTTCCCTGAGAGCAGTGTAAAAGAGGATTCCTGAAGTTTATGGACAAACATAAATTAAAATGTTTTATCCACCTTTAATGGCGATGATTTTTTTTTTTTTTGGTGAAAAATTCGTAGGTAAAATCTAATGACCCCTTCAGCTGCTTATTTTTAAAACAGCTCCTAGTGCATTTTTCTAGACTAGAAGTGGGATCCACTGAAGGTGTCTAAACTTCCACTGCAGGAGTCTCCCTGTATCCAGGGAAGGTGTGTGGGGATGCTTCCCTCATAATCAAATAGTAGGACTGTGTTCTCTGCGAGCTTGCAAAATGTAACTGAGTTTTGACATGAAGAGGCTCTGTGTCCATCCCGAGGAGCACTGCCCTGAGGAGGACAAGTGACACCCAGCACCCTGGGCACAGCAGCACGGAAAGTCTTCAGTTTTTAGGCTTGCTGTGGCTGACCAGTTGAGCAGCCAGCACCCAACAGCTGGTATGATAATTTCTAAACATCACCCTTGGTGGCATTTAAAAACTGATTTGTTTGTGTTTTAAAAACTTCTCCTCTAAACTTGTGTTTTACAGAGCATATGTGTGTTAGTATGCACGATGACCTGCCCAATATGCCCCGAGGAAATAATTTGCACTAGTGTGCAGAGAGAATATTCCTGGCTCCTATTTCCACAGGCTCCCAGGCAGCAAGCTGTGGATCAAACCATGTGCTGCCAGCCTGCTCCTTTGCCTGACAGCAAAACCCTGCCTCTTTTGTCACCACTTCTCAGCAACATCTTAATCCTGTGTGCTTGGAGAATTGGTTAATTAGTATCTCAGAAGCAAAAAATTACAGTGGTATAATTACCGCAGCACAGCAAAGCTCAATCTACAAAGTTTATAATATTGCACAGGGATTTAGACTGTGCTTTTTTCTGGTTCTGCCCCATGACTGCAGAATCCAGACCCACTTATTGAATAAGTCCACAAAGTGCTTCTGTAGTTGCAAAGAATATGGCTTCTCAGTAATTTTCAAAGGTTAACAGATCTCAGTGGTCAGTGGGTGCGTCCTTGTCGCCAATATGCCTTTCAATTTTCCTTAAAAACAGTGGGAGTACATGAAGAATTTTAAAGTTATGACTTGCCACAAATCTTAGTTTACATTGCAAGTCTGAGAGAATCCAGTTCTTGAACCCTATTCCAACAGGATGGATGCTCAAACTTTAGGAAAACTACCTTTTCAAAATGCTTTCCAAAGCTGAATTTACTTCAGTTACAAGTATCAGTATAGCCTTTGTTCTTTCCTTACCTGTCCAAAGAACAGAAACCTTTCATTTACAGGTTGCAGATATGTACCTGCACTGACAGACAGAAATTCCACTTCTACAGCTTCCACCTGGGCACTAAGCCTGCCAAAATCACCCTGAGGTTTTTCCTGATCAGAAGCACAGTACTGGGTTGCCATGTACAATTCACCGTAAAGGAAACCTGTATGGGATTTCCCTCTCTATGCCTGCTGAAAACTAACAGGGCAGTTCCTACTCTCAGCAATGGTTTTATAACACTGCTGCTTCAAATGGCTTTGTTCAAACAAGACAGACTCCTAACATCCCGAGTGTGCCTCATTCATCTGTGATAAACACAAGTTATTCACTCACGGTCCCGGCAGAGGATCCCACGGAAATGATCCCGTGTCAGTCCCACACAGGCCAGCAGAGGCACCACAAGACAAAGCTTTTCCTGCCCCAGGCTGCAGGGAGAATGCCGATGTATGTTAATGTGGGATGGAGTGCACAGGGTCTGTTTGCAGTGAAGGTCTTCCCTTCTCCCAGTGGCACCACAGACCCCTGCTCTGCAGCTGCAGAGTATGTACCAGTTAAGTCTCGTCTGTTACTGCGTAGAAGGGGAAGAGCAGAGGGCAAGGTCACAAAACCCTACCAGACTATTTCTCTTAAATCTTCCCTCACAATGAAAAGTCTTAGCCAAGCTGTGTTCTGTGCTGCATCCGCACTAGGGAGGGCATTTAAGGAACAAGAAGTTTGCTTAGTTAGCAAAATGTGAGCTGCCTAAAGCCTGAATGCACATTTAGCACAAACCTGCATAAGCACTGGAAGTGCAGCTTCCGAGTCAAAATTGAATCCGTGGCCCATATACAGCATGGAAAAATGAGAAAGTCTTCAGTTTGCCCATAAAAGTTTAAGATGTGAAACAGCTGCTCACTTGCAAAGATTTTCTCCCTGCAAGGCAGAACATAATCTTGACAAAGAGAAGCCAGCAGAGAACGTGGATTAAGCTCACTCTTATCTTTTCTGGGATGGTTTTCCTCTTGTTAACCTCTGTTTCTCTGGAATGCTTTCACTAAACCACAGTCTGGCTAAAATATATCCCTCTTCTCTTGTACATTTGAAAACTTACTGTCTTAGCTATGCAATACTGTAAAGAAATTTAATTCTTCCTTCCAACTGTCCAGAATGTCTAATAGTTCGCATAAATTTGTAATACTTTGGTATCTTCCCATATTGTATTTACCAGCAGGATTAAAAAAGGAGGTAATGAGTTGTCTCAATCAGCAGTGCGTTAGACATTGCAAAAGATCTTAGCATCAGAAAGATTTACAGGAGTTTTTGTCCAATACGAAGAAATTACTTTCTGTTAAAATTATTAAGTGTGTTTCTCCAGGGCAGCTGATTGTCAGCAGTGGACCTTTTAATGCCCTGCATTTGGTCAAATAATTATATTTGAATACGCCATGACAGTAGCTCCAGGACAGTTTATCAAAAGGGCTGTATTTTCTGTTTGTACACTGCATTTGAACATTAGGCAACTTCCACCATTTTGTAAATTAAGCATAAAATTGTAACAGTATTTTTAGTGCCTGCATATTACTTTGAACCTGAAAAACTCAAAAAAGTAGATAACTAGCAAAGTCATTATTAGCAAGTCTAAGTGCATCCTAGCCCATTTAAAATGCACTGGAGCAGGTGACTACCTCTGTTAGTATTACATCTTATGCATAAATCAAATGCAATTAAAACATACATAGTACACCATGAGATGATGGGGCCAGATTCTTCCTGGGTGTAACTGAGGTTCTCATTCCTGTTACAGTGACTCCAGACTTCCTCTTGATTTGAGTGAATTAGAAAGATGGATCTTTATCTAATACATTTTAACAGTAAAGCCTCACCTGACCAGCAGCGTTGCTCTGTGAAATGTTGTAAAGAAAGCTCAAACTGCAGTTTTTCTGGAGAGGGGCATCTCATGCTGTATTATTTTCAGGCCCTGTGGATACACAGATGAAATTGTGGTTTTGTCAGCTGTGGAGTTTTAGCTCATTTTCTTTCAAGGTAACTTTGTGTTGGACACAGAAGTTAAATAAAAAAATAGATAGATAGATAGATAGATAGATAGATAGATAGATAGATAGATAGATAGATAGATAGATATTGTTGTAATAAAACCCTGCCTAGCTCTTAGGTTGCAATAAAATAAAGCAGCTATTTCAGCAAAGTTGCAAGACACGTCACTTCTTACAGACTGCAGATGGAACTGGCAGTTTGGAAAAAACATTGTCAGACCCAACAGAGTGCCATTTTCTCCTTTAGATTTCAGTGGACTTCAGCCCAGACTTTGTCATTCCCACCTCCAACATGGTGAATACAGTTTCCTTTTGACCTGCAATCTCCATTATTGCCTGTATTACCCTGAACCAAAATTTTCCAAGGTTTGACTTGGTTCCTGAAGAGCGGAATAGCACAAGAATATATCTTTGCCTTATTGTCTGTATAAGGGCCATAACTTCAGGGCTTGCTTCTGAACACTTGGGGGCAAGTGGTTTGCTGATGATTTACAGGGAAAGAAAGACAAGGTTTAATCCTTATTGGCTTCTGGGATGTCAGATACCATAAATGTGATTGAAGGAGATAGGCCATTGACTCTATTCTCTAATATCTTTCCAGGGTACACAGGGGAGAGTGTTATTGTGACTGAAAATGGATAGTTAACTGCATTTAACCTGATTTTCTGTGAAATGGTAAGACAGTGCAGCACTGCTCAGTATTTAACACAATAATTTTAAAATAAAAACTGTATTGGTGGCATTTATAATAAAAAAAGAACTGAAAACTAAAATTTATTTGTTGTAGGCATAGAAAGAGTCATGTTCAACTCACTTTTTTTTTCTTTCTGCAGCAATAAATCTCACTAAATCATACACAAACACATGCCTATGTAAACTAGTGATTCAACATCAATAAATTGCATAGAACTGCAAATACAGAAGAAAATTAATATGCTTTGTTAGAAATCCATATGTAATATTTAATATTTATAATATTATTAATACTATTAAAAATTAGTTTTTATATTATTTAACTACATTTTACGTATAATCTATATTATTAATATAGAATATTATTAGAATTTGGTGACATTTGTAAATTGTTAAGAACACTTTATAGAAACCCTTTATAGAAACTAGAGCTCTCAGGACAAATGATGGTTTAGGTAGGCAAA